CCCCAAAACCCCAAAACCCCAAAACCCCTTATAAGTCTCAATAGATTGACAACAGCTATAAAAAATTAATTATAATATGGGAAGCCAGAGTGGTCATTGATGCGATTACACTAAGGATAGCGATACAAGAGATATATTATCCCAAATCTCTCATCGATCTAAAAGGAAATTCTCCCAAAAGAGCCAAAATGGCATTCCAAACAACATAACCACCAACAAATGGTACATCACTACAACACATTCATTAAATTCCATCCCCATCTCAATCAAAATCCCTACAAACCATCTACATCCTCCCCCTTCCCCTTTCAACTCCCTTATCTCTCCAACCACTGCCCTCATTCCTAATCCTCCTCCAACCATTCCACTAAATTCCCAACCTCCTCACTTAGTAGTACCCATCCCTAAATCCTAGTCCCAAAAGTGTCATACTTCACTTGAGCTTCTAAATTTCTTTATTAAAATAATTTAAATTTAGAGTGACGACTAATCAGAATGCAGGTTATGTGGAATCTGGGAAGAAAGTTATTGATAGCATACTTGGCCCAAAGAAAGAGACCAAGCTTGAGAAAGCTCCAAGTGGTAATTTTTCCTTAAAAATTCTAAAGACAAGGCTGACAAGAAGCAGCCAGACCAGGCTAGCCAGAGGGATGAAAATAGTGCGAACGAAGAAGCCAAGGAAGTGGATAAGAACCAGAGACCCGCAGTTCAGTCAACCTTGGTCGCACCTGAGGTTAAGGGTCAGAAGTGTAAGCTTTATGAAGTGTTATAAATAGGAAATTCACAGATGCAGAAATCTGAAGGGAGAATCGGGGATTTAAGCAATATTTCAAGGAAAGATAAGATAAATCGGTCAGAGATTAAAAAAACTGAGAAAAGTAGTAAAGCTCTGCTCAAAACTCCAGGACAGATGAAGAAAAAAAGAAGCGAGGTTTCTCAAGAGAATTTACTCCAGAGCAGTGTTGGGCATAGTACGAAGAAAAAGCGACATAGTGTGATGATTGAGAATCAAATCAGAGGTTTCAGTAAGATCAAAAACAGCAGCTTGAGTAAGGTTAATGAAGAAGAGAATAATAAGGAAGAGGACAAACAATTTGATGGTGTTGGTTTTGATGATGGATTTGGACAGGAAGAGCAAGAGTACGACAAATATTCAGCCAAGTTAGTCATCATGTATGAAAAATATTCCTTCAAGGAGTTTCTTGGAGTCGGAGTTTATAGCGAAGTAAGGCGAATAGTTAACAATTTCACTCAAGAATCATTTGCTGTAAAAATACTTAAGAAGGATTATCTCAAGAAGGAGAAGGAACCATTGAAGCCTATTCTGGATCAACTGCTTTCAAATGAGCATAAGAATGTAACCAAAGTTGTCGAATATTTTCAAGATAAGAAGTATTATTACTTAATTTATGAGCATAACCAAGGAGGTATGATGTTTGACTATATCTGTGAGTCTGCTCATTATGACAAGAAGATGATTGCTAATATCATCAAGCAAATTCTCTCAGCTCTGCTATATAACCAAGGGCAAGGCAAGGAGATCTATCATAGAGAAATCAGGCCCGAGAATTTGATGGTTGAGGATGCGTTGTTAGATATAATCTCTTTGAAAATAAACGACTTTAGTACCTCACAAGAATACAATCCTAAATTTGGCAAGAATAAGCAAATGAAGCAGACATTTTCATGTATTTATTTCACACCTCCTGAGGTGATCGCCAAGCTTGGTTACCACAGCAACTCTGACATATGGAGCACGGGGATTCTCCTGTATCTTTTGCTGATTGGGAAGAACCCTGTCAAAGACTTTTCAAACAAGATTGTTATTAAGAACATCAAATCTAAGAATTTCAAGATTGATAACCTTGTCGGAAACGGGATCATTGAAGAAGAGGAGGGTGACCTTCTCAAAAGGATGCTTGAAAGGAACGTTAAAAAGCGGATTTCTATTATCGAGGCTATGAACCACCCATGGATCCTTAAATATTGCAAAGAAGAGGTTGAAGATGCCTCTGTTTCCGAACAGGTGATGCAATGCCTCACCTCGTTCTGGAATCAATATGCTCTCCAAGAGATCTGCATGAAATATTTCGGGTTCCTGACTCTTAATAGCATGACTGTCGACTGACTTGAAGCTGAAGCTGAGAAATGAGGAATCAAAAAGGACGACCAATGCAGTTATGATCAATTATTTGACATTTTGTTGGAGACTTCGAAAAATAGTAAGGAATCAGTGGAATTTCAGCTAAAATAATGCCTTAAAGACCATCCAGAGTAGTAATGGTAAGTTTTGATGTGACCTCATACAGATTCAGGCGAGTATACATTTGGAGATTTCTTAAAGAGTCTCAGTAAACCTCAAGAAGAATTTTGCGAGAAGAGGATGCAAATGAGACTCGAAAAAATTAATCCTCAAGGAATAATGAAATGTGATGATATTAGAAGAATGCTGATAGAAAGAGAGGACTCTATTAGCTCAGACTGGAATGGAGTCTGAAAGAAGCTAAACATCAAGAATAACGATCTCATAGGCTTTGAGATGTTTATGAAGGTGTTTAAAGAGTTCAGATGCTAGGAAGAATAAATGAGCTCACATTTTTATTGATATAGAATGACCCTTGAAACTGGGGTTTTGGGGTTTTGGGGTTTTGGGG